CTAAGGATTTTTATCTTGAGGAAACTCTCCTGATAGCCCTCGAGAGGTATACCCTAGAGAGGGAAAGCTGGGGCAGAATTTTACAGGTAGGAAGTGTCCTCTGCAGGCAGATGCATCTCCAGATGAACTCAGATAAGTGAAAATCTGGGGAAACTGCCCAATTTGTCATGTAGATCTTAGAGTTCATCAATTTTGTCATTTATCTAGTTTTTCTTCTCATTCGAATCACTTTTATGTATCTCTTTCTCTCTTTTCCTTCCTTATAACCCTGGTCCTCTGATTTTGTTTTCAAAGATATAATTTCCATTTTAGCAGGTATATAGTTTTGATACACCCTGGCTCTTCAGAGTAAAACTTAAAAATCCAATAATAACCGATATGCAAAATGAGGCCACCTAAAATTTTAAATGGAAGTTTTCATTTTTGGTCTGTATGCACTATGAAAGCACTGATTCCCATAGTTTAAAATGTTCACTTTTTATATTTCTAAATTTATTCCTGTTCTAGACAGGTTTCAATATAATTGCAGTAAATCTGATTTTCAAGGCATGACTCTGCCATGTGTTGGAGATACATAATCTCTTTAAAGCATGTTACTTTTCTGTAGGAAGCTTCTATACTCATTGAAGGTATAGTCAGACTTCTTCCAAGTTAATACTTCCTCTTGTCTCATTTAAATCTCTAAAAAAAAAAAAACTAACTGAATGCAGGAGATTTTTTTTTTTGTTATTTGATACTTTTATTTCAAATACTATAGAATTCTTTTGTGGATATAACTCATCTTGTACAGAGTTCATGGTGCGAAGAGATTTGAACTTAGTCTTTGTTTGAAAACGCCTTCCTCACATCTTTTAGATCCATTCTTGCCACCTGCCCAGCTATCATGGCCTTGGTTCCCATAACATGACAATATGGTACCTTCCCTGAAAGGGCTAAATATAGTTTAGCTCAGTCTCTCCTTCGATAGAGTTAATTAACCAGAAAATGGTGCAGGTCTTGGTGTTTATCTACTTAGATCCCAGAGGGGCTAAGATAGCTGATCTCAGATGGCAGTAAATTGAATTAGCGTGACAGCCTCATTGAGTTTATAGAGCTCTGTGACTATAAATGCTCCCCCCCCCCCTTTTTTAGGTAAGACATTGAAGTGATTGGTTATCTGGCATTAGAAATGACTTATTTCATCTAAATGTTCCAGGCCAAAAAATGCTTTGATTATTACTTATTTATTCAATAGAAGTCTATTTGTTAAATACATTATTTGATCTGCATTTTACTGGTATCAGAATGGGTGAATACATATGTATTTTTATATACGAGGTATCCCAAAAGTCTTAGTGCAGTTTAAAGCTTTAGTAGTTGCAATAGATTTAGTAGTTTAAGAGGCAGGTACCACCCAACTGCACTAAGACTTTTGGAACATCTTGAATATGGCAGATGCAATTACATTAAATTAGGAAAGCAAACAGTTATGTCCTCTGAAAACTTGATGAGTTCACTTGGATAGAATGTGGTGCTAATAAGGTCACTATTAGGTATGTAAACAGTTTAAGGAGCAGTTGGATTCATAGCTCTTCCAAGGCAGTCTCTTAAATAATTTTCTTTGGCCATTTAGGGCTGCCTGGGTCAGGGACTTCAATAAGTACAAAACAGTCATCACAGCTGGGAAAATAATTCAGATTTCATGTTATCTCCACAGTGGGTTAGCAACTTCACCATCTTTATGCATCTGAGAATAGTCAGTGTTACAGAACTCTGATCGCACCTTCAGGGTGCAGGCTACTGCCCGGAAAAAAGGCTGGTTTGGCTTTGCTTTTTTCTATTCCTTAGCAATATGCAGTAAAGGGGCACATTGTTTTAAACGTGAAGCACAGCTGGCTGTCAACAGGGTTGGTAGTGATGACCCCAGTGGCCTATGAGCCTGCCTCCAGGACAGCACGTGGAAGAAACTACCTGAACTACCTGAAATACTATGCCTCTTATATCCTAAGGGGTTCAAAGCTGTTAGGGACACCACTACATAATCCTGAATGCGTATTGTAACACAGAATTCATTCTAATACAAAGTTGTGGGTGTGCATAATATTCCCCACCTGCATGATTTTATTCTAAGGAAATCAGCAGATTTTGTAGTAGACTCTTTTTTAAAAAAATTTTTAAAAAATTTTTAGCAATTGGGGTCAAGTGACTTGCCCAGGGCCACACAGCTAGTAAGCGTCGAGTGTTTGGTCTGAGGCCGGATTTGAACTCAGGTCCTCCTGACTTCAGGGCCAGTGCTCTATCCACTGCACCACCTAGCTGTCCTTAGTAGACTCTTCCTATGAGATCCTACCACATTTCCATTGATCTATGTAATTTTACGTATTAGAGTACTTCAGCATTGAATACCCCCTCCCCTTTTCAGGTAGAGATGAGAGAGAAGACGTAGAAGATGATGTGTGTTCTTGATTATAAGTAAATTGACCTTATGTGGCTGCTTTTCCATTTATGTCAGTTCACTGAGCATTTAGCTTCCGTGTTGTGCATGATGGTTTTTGAACATATGCATTGTTATTTCTTTCAGTGGTAGGTAGCCATGACACTGAACATTAATTCCAGCAGAGAGATACTTGCATTTTGGGGATGGGGGGGCCTGGGGGAGGAACCCAAGGAAAAAATCAATTAAAATTGACCATTAGGAGACATTATTAGTGTAAAGTTGTGTGTGTTATAGAACTGACAGACCAAGTCTCTGGAATGCATGTATTCCTTTTTCCCTTATTAAATCACCATCCAAGTTATGAGTGGCATGGGAATCAACAGAGGAGGACATTGTACATCTGCCATTGGGGCTGCAGAGATAGCATCCCATTCTGGTGATTTTGTGAGTGAATACTGGAGAGATATTCCATCTCAGATTTCCATCTCAGAAGTTTTCAAACTACTTATCAACAATGACTTCACATAGTTATAATTACTCTAGCATTAGCTTTCAGTTAGTAGAAGGGAATAATTTTTTCCCTAGAGATATGGCCCTCAAAGACAGTCACATCATATTTGACAATCATATGAAGTCATAGGAGTTGTTTTAAAAAAAATGAAAGCTGTCTTGGACGTAACGTAAAGCATCATTCTTGTCAAGATTTGTTGCAACACTTAAGTCCAGGCCTTCTGTTTTGTGAAGGTAATAGAATGTAAGGAAAGAGAAAATAAAAATGCTTGTTCAACAGCACCAGATCAAATATGCTTTTGGGTGGTATATTAGCAGTCATCTCTCAACAACCAAATATTTGCCTTTCTATTTACAGTGCCATGTATTTAGAGTTAACATATCTATTCCCAGCTTGTTATACAAGCACATTAAGGTCTTGGTATCCAGAGAGCTAAAGACATTTTTGCTGAGCTAAGACCAAACATTGTCCATCATTGTCCATCATTTGATCATTATGGGTTTACTTGTAGGTGGGGAATATTATGCACACCCACGACTTTATAATAGAATGAATTCTGTGTTATGTGCGCATTCAGGATGATGTAGTGATGTCCCTAACAGCTCTGGACCTCTCAGGATGAAAGAGGGATGGTATTTCAGGTATTAGTGTGAGGCCAGTGTTACTTCCACATGCCTCTTCCTTGCTCTTTCTGCTTAGAACCAAGCCAAGTCAAGCACTAAAACCCCACCACCTCCACCGAGAGCACTGGAGCTACAGGTATCTTGATACATCAGTTTTAAAGTTACTTATCTTGTTGTCCATGTAATGGGGGCCTGGCCAATTTGCTACAAGTAGATTTTGTGTGTATTTTTAAAAAAATTCTAAATTTATTTTATTTGAAGGTGATTCTTGGACATATGATAGACATACTTTACACTTTTGAGGGCCAGGATTTCTTTGGTATGCTTATCCCCTCTACTAATAGGTTGTAATGTCTCCATGCCTTATCAGAGGGTGTTACAGTTGCTGGTAATGAAAAAATCTTCAACTGGAGGTGACAAATCTCCTTAAATTGACCTCACACTTGAGATGTGCAGTTCATTTATGCACAGGCATAAAGCCTCTGGAGCTCAGGGGGACTTCCCAGACCATTTCCATCTTTGGCATGGATTTCAAGAACCCAGGGAAGTCAAAAACAATTCCTATCCTGAGGGAGGTGACATGGAAATAAATAGAAACATGCCAAATAGAAGGATATCGCCTTGGAGGGAAAGCCTCAAGTAACTGGGGCGGGATGGGGGGTGGGAACCAGAAATGGTCAATCACTTGCAGAAGGTGGCAGTTTGAGGTGAGTCCTGGCTGAAGCCAGAGATGCCAGAGGCAGGAGGTGAGGATGGAGACATTCTAGGTACGGGCTTTTCTCCTGGTTAATCACAAATGTGCACAGTTCCTCTCCTTTTTAGCATTTTTAGAGGTCCTGTGGCTGGATGTGATTGGGTGACTGATTTGCATGACCACCCATGTCTACTTTGCCCCATTGGACATTTTTGCACCGGACATTTTTATTTATTGTTAACATTCCTTTGTCCCCATTATTTCTTTTAGCTTATCAGGAGTCTCAGTGCAGGTTTACCTTGACAAATGATAAAGCATCTTTAGGCTGTTATGCAGGACTGTCTAGCCAGCCCTGGGAGGGCTGCTACTGCATCTAGCAGCCTGCTGCCTGTCTCTTCTTGGGGCCTTCCTCCACTTTGGGAATCCACACAAAAATATCACTTTCATTACTTTATAGTTATCTTCTAAATCTTATCCAGCTTGTTTCATTTTTCTGTGATTTTTTTTTCTTGGTTTTTGTATTTCAGGAGGGTGAATGAGATTTATTACAGTCATTTCTTGGGATAGAATCAGTGGCCAAATGAGTTCCTTATAGGGTATTATAGTTCCCCAGTAACCCAAAAGAATTAACATTTCTCTCAAAATAACAAACTCATACCCAGGAGGAGCTTGCTCACCTGTATTTTCTGAGATTTTTTAATGAATATATTTCTGATATAAAATCATATTTTCCTTTTTCTCCTGTTCCTTCTCTAGGAAGAACGTGTTGTGAATCATATGGCAGCAAAGATTATTGAGAACGTCTGTACTACCTTTTCTGTCCAAGCCCAGGGCTTTATCACAGGGGAAATTGGACCAGTTTTGTGGTACCTCTTCAAACATTCCACCATAGACTCTCTGAGGATCACAGCTATATCGGTGAGACTGCACCTGCATTACCATATTCTCAGGTTCATTAATATGAATTTATATTAAGTGAATCTTGTGGTGACAGAAAGGTGGGGTTATGAATGGAGGAGCTTTGACATGCATAATAAAACCAGAGAAGTCATATTTTTTTTTCTATGAGAGTGTTTCTTAAACTGAGACTGAAAACTCACCAAGGGATTAGTGGGAAATTCTTTTTCCTCTCTTTTGATTAATTAAGTATTTTATTTCCCCCTAATTACATGTAAAAATAATTTTTAGCATTTGTTTTTTAAAAGTTTGAGTTCCAAATTCTTTCCCTTCCCTCCCTCTCTCTTCATTGAGAAGGCAAGCAATTTGACAGATTATATATGTGCAGTCATGCAAAATGCATTGCCATATTAGTAATGTTGTGAAAAAAATGCACAAGAAAAATTTAAAAAGTAGAAAAAAAGTAAGCTTCAGTCTGCATTCAGACTTCATCAGTACTTTCTCTGGAGATGCAGCATTTTTCATCATAAGTCCTCAGGATTTGTTTTGGATCATTGTATTGCTGAGGATAGCTAAGTCTTTCACAGTGGATCTTTGTACAATATTGCTGTATTCTGTTCTGGTTCTGCTCATTTCACTTTGCATCAGTTCATGTAAGTCTTTCCAGGTTTTTCTGAGAGCATCCCGCTTGTCATTTCTTTTTTTTTTTTTATTAATTTATTTTGATTTATCAACAATCACTTCCATAAGCTTTCGAGTTTTAAATTTTTCTCCCCCTTCCTTCCTACTTCCCTCCCCAAGAAGGTGTGCAATCTGATATAGGCTTTACATATACATTCCTGTTAAACATAATTAGAACCAATAGGAGGAACCGCAGTAAAGAGAAGACAAAACAAAACAGAAGAAAAAAATAGCAAATAGCATGCTTCACTCTGCATTCAGTCTCCATAGTGCTTTCTTTGGATGTGGATAGCGTTTTCCATCAGGAGACCTTTGGAGATGTCTGAGATCCTTGCATTGCTGAGAAGGGCTAAGTCTATCAATAGTCATAGAACAGTGTGGCTGTTACTGTGTACAACGTTCTCCTGGTTCTGCTCACTTCACTAAGCATCAGACCACACAAGTCTTTCCAGGTTTTTCTGAAGTCTGCTTCCTCATCACTTCTTATAGTACAATAGTATTCCATTACATTCATATACCACAACTTGTTCAGTCATTCCCCAATTGATGGGCATCCCCTCAATTTCCAATTCTTTGCCACCACTTAAAGAGCTGCTATAAATATTTTTGTACATGTGGATCCTTTTCCTTTTTGTTTTTTATCTCTTTGGGATACAGACCTTTAGAGGTATTGCTGGATCAAAGGGTATGCACAGTTTGACAGCCCTTTGGGTATAGTTCCAACTTGCTCTCCAGAATGGTTGGATCAGTTCACAACTCTACCAACAATGCATTAGTGTCTCAATTTTTCCACATCCCTTATTGGTGGAAAACTTTAGGAGGATTACAGAGATCACAACAACCTAATTCCCAATAGCGGGTGCTAGGGGGATGTATGTGGGAGCAGGAAAATATAAAAACTAGCTTCATCTGTTCTTTGGGCCCTTGTCTGCTCTTTAACTCCAGGCCCTGAAAGCCCATGTTGAATTCATCTGCTCACAATGGTTGAATTCTCTCCTGTAGGAGGACATCAGTGAGGTGGACATGAATAGGATTTAATGATAATAACTCACATTTATTTCATGCTTTAAGTTTTGCAAAGCACTTTACAAACATTATTTCACTTTATCTTGATATAATCCTGGGAGCCAGTTGCTGTTAGCTCCATTTTACAGATGAGGACACTGAGGCAAAGAGGGTTTAAGAGACACAACTAGGAGGTGACTGAGGTGAGATTTGAACTCAGGTCTTCCTGACTCCAGACCTGTCACTCTATCCATTATGACACTCCTTACCTGATGTATTGAGGACAGCGCTCGGGGCCTATACAAGCAGTGCCAGAGTGTGGTCCCCTTGAAGTCTTTTAGGGACTTCTGACTGAGCCTTCTCTGACTTCAGAATGTTGGACCCTTGGCTGCCCCAGGCTTTTGTTCTCTTGAAACATAGCTTCCTAGCCCATTTTCCCCATCTTGACCATTGGCTCAAGACAAGAGTCTCCAGTTGCCCCTCCTGGTGTCACCTAGGGGTCTCCTGAGACCCAACTCCCAGTTAGTTCTAGACTGGCAGCATTAACCCATCTTCCCACATCTTCATCACATTCTCACCACGGTAATGACGTTCCTCTTGAACTCATGGGTTTGGGCTAAGCATGTGATCTTATTGGCAGATATAGCCAATGCTGGCTGTGATTCCTTCACTAAAGGTTCTTGAAGGAGGGTCACATGCCCTTTGGACCTGGGGGTGCCTGGCCCTTGGGTAAAATCATACTCAATAGCCTTGGAAGTTATCACTCCTGCTGTAGTTCTGCGGGAAAGTTTGAAGCTGCTGTGCCAGGGGTATAGAGCTCTCTCTCTATGCTTCCCCTGGTTCTCTAAACCCAGTGGTATTATTGGTGCTGTTGTTGATCTCATCACCATCTCACATTGCTTAGACCTTCGAAGGGTCTTTCCTCCAGTGGACCTCCAAAGGACCAGCAGTAGCTGTGCTCAATCAAGGAAGGTGGTTCCTAGGTTCAGATGTCCTTCAGGGAACCCTTCCATGTATAGTGGGGTCTTGGAAATCATGCTAGATTGGGGAAAACTGCTCCATTAGATGGCCATTATTGAGAATTAGCTGTAACTAGAAAAGATGCTTAGAACAATAGGATATTTGTGAACAAAACCATTTTTGTGAGCACCACTATTTTAGTAGTGGTGAACAACTACGGAAGTCTAAAAAGTATCTTGCCCCATTCCTTATATCCAATACTCAAAATCATTCAGAAGAGCAAATAAAAATAATTCTTTAGCTTTTTCTTTCTTAAGTGCATCCATTTATGTTTCTCAGAGATATAGGTAGAGTCTTCAATTTTGAACTGATCTCTTTCTTGGAAAATTGCACAAATAAAGTAAATTCCAAGAAAATGGAAATTTTTAAGGAAGAACCCTAAGGTACTTTTTCTTTCTGCATTATTTTTAGATTGTTAGTTCCTTTTAGTGTTCAAATTCAGTCCTGAAAAAATTTACCTTAATTGCTTTATACTAAATCTCTCAGAACAAGCCTTGAGAATTGATACTTTTTTTTTTAAATTAAGAAAATAAGAACACTTAATGTGCTTTTAAGACTCCACATTCTCTTAACTGCTTAGAAGCCTTCCATAAATACTGAAACCAAGGCACAAAATTCTTTTGAGAGGTTATTTTCCATTAAATCTAAATCTTCTATATGTTTTTCAAAATGAAAAATCTATTGGGATTTCAAACAGCATTCTAAAGAGGAGGCATTTTAGTCAATCCTAATATGGCTTTGAGTACTCTTCATAACTAGTCTGGAGAAACCTTTATACCAAGAAGTTCCTCCATTTTAATTGGATAGGGATTTTGTATCAATAGAAAGTCAAGTTTTGCCGAGCCAGCTGCTCCAAGAATCTTTACAATGCTAATGAGACTGATTGTTTCTCTGTGTAGAAATCACTGTTGGGAGAACTCTTAATTTATTTGAAAACATTCTGATTGTGGTAGGATCCGGAGGGAATCCATTTAAAATGCTCCTTCATTCTTTTTTGTCCTTGGGCTAAAAAATAATTAAATAATTCTCTTTTGGTTTCACAGAGGATAGTTTTCTTAGATTCATTACAAACTCTATTTTGGAAACTTTTCAAATGCCCTAATTAAAGACAGCTTTCTGTAATCGTACCTTATTTAGCTAGTTCCCCTTTCCTCTGTCTTCATAGTAGAGTTGTAACTTCTCTACTACAAGTAACGCTAATTTTAATGTCAGTTTTCAAATCCTTATTTCTGCCCCTTTCTAACCTGTTCTATGGAACTTCGCTCTTTTTCTACCTTCTGAGATGAAACTATGGCAAAAGTAACATCACCATTTCTTCTCTTAAAGACTGCAACTTTGGAACTTGGGCCTTTCCATTGTATGTATTGTATTGTGTTGTGTTATGGTGTCTTTTTGTTTATTGGGCGCTTCATACAACCACATACAGCTTTGTGAATGTAAAGCATTTTTCTAGTGTGAAGAAGTTTTGGGCCTGGGGGCGGAGGAGGGGAGGGCAGGGGGAAGTACTGTATAGTATAGTAGGAACAACATTTGACTTAGAACGTAGACCTAAGTGTGAATCCTGATTCTGACACTAACTGTGTAATTGTGACCGTGTGAACCTCAAGTTCCTCAGATGTAAAATAAGCATAACAACAGCACAAAGATCCAGGACATCTCCAAAAAGCTCATGATAGGAAATGCTATCCATATCTAGAGAAAGAACCATGGAGTCTGGATGCAGATCGAAGCATACTATTTTCACTTTTTTTTTCCTTTCTTTCTCGTGGTTTTCCCTTTTGTTCTGAGTCTTCTTTCACAACATGACTAATGTGGAAATATGTTTAATATGATTGTACGTGTGTATAACCTGTATCAGATTGCTTGCTATCTTGGGGAGGGGGGAGGAGAGGAAGGAAGGAAGAAATATTTGGAACGCAAAACTTTGCAAAAATGAATATTGAAAGCTATCTTTGCATGTAATTAGAAAAAATAAAATATGATTAAGTAAAAAAAAGAAATAGCAGTGAAACAGAAAAAAAATGAGCTTAAGATACACCATTCACCTCATAGGGTTGTAAGGAAAGTAGTTTGTCAATATAAAGCTTTCTTTCAATACGAACCATTTTTATTATGTGAGCTGGTATTTACAGGTACACCAATGACTTCCTCAGTGAATCCAGGTTGTCTCGGTTGTTCACCTTTCCGCACTTCTCATTTTGGCCACATTGGCCTTTTGGCTGTACCTCACCCTCTTTCCTATTTCCCTGTCTCCCGGGCTGGAAGGCTCTCCCTTGTCACCTCTGCTTCTTAGAATCACTAACATCCTTCAGAGTACAACTCCAGTCTATCCCACTATGGGAGGCCTCTAGGTCTTCTCCATTCCTCCCACCCCACTCTGCCCCTAGGAGTTACCTTGCATGCATTTTGTGCATGCTTATATGTGTGTGAGTGTTTCTCCATAGACGTTGAGGGTAGGGGTTCATTCTGTCTGGGCTTTAGAACAGTGCCAAGCACTTGGGGTGCACAGACAGCCTCAGAGATGTTGTGGTTTTGGTTCCAGACCACCACAATAAAGTGAATATCTCCTTAAAGCAAGTCACACAAAGTTTTTGGCTTCCTAGTGCACATGAAAGTTATGTTTAGTTTGCAATAGTATTACATCTCCAAAGAGTGTACATACCTTAATTAAAAATACTTTATTGTTAAAAATTGCTAACCATCATCTGAGCCATCAGTGAAAGTCGTAATCTTTTTACCGGCGGAGAATCCTACCTTGATTCTGGTGGCCGCTCACTGCTCGGGGTGATGGTGGCAATTTCTTAAAATGAGACAGCAAGGCAGTTTGCTGCACGGATTGACTTCTCCTTTCATTTGAACACTTAGAGACTATTGTAAGGTTATCAATTAGCCTACTTTCAATATTGTTGTGTCTCAGGGAATAGGGAGGCCAGAGGAGAGGGAGAGAGATGGGGTACAGCTGGTGGAGCAGTCAGAATGCACCCAAAATTTGTTGATTAAGTTCACTGTCTTTTATGGGTGCAGTTTGCAGTGCTCTACAACAATTAAAGCAGCAACATCAAAGATCACCGATCACAGATTACTATAAAATAGATAATAATGAAAAAATTTGATGTATTGCAAGAATTACCAAAATGTGACACAGAGACACCAAGTGAGCACGCAGTGTTGAAAAAAATGGTGCTGATAGAATTGCTCAGCACACCAGGGTTGCCAAAAACCTTCAATCTGTTTAAAAAAAAAAAGCAACGTCTGTAAAGTGCAATAAAGTGAAGCGCAATAAAATAAGATGTACCTCTGTATAGAAGAAGAGCAAGGCAGTCTGTTCTCAAGAAGCTCGTATTCTGATGGGGGAGACAGAAACACACAGAGGAGGCTTCATCGGCAAATCAGATAGAGAGGTGCCATGGTCCTTAGGGTGCAGATGCTAATGCCTCTTCCTCTGTGTTATTTCCACTGATAGAACTGTCATTCATTTCTAATGCCAAGTCATTTGATGGTGCCAGGGTCTTTGGTGGCTAGAACTCTCTTCTCTGAGTCTTCAGGAGCTGTAGCTGCAGAGGAGGTGGGGGCCATGGCACCTGGAGAAGCAGTTGGCATCTTGGCACCTTCACCAAGGTTGATTCTCTAGATGCTGGCTGTCGAGGCTGGGTAGATGGGGGAGATGTTGGGCTCTTGGGCTCAGGGTTCTGGGCTGTCTCCATCCAGGTCAGAGAGGAGGTGACGGCTGAAGTGGTTGTAGTGGTCTGATTGGCCTGCCACATGCTTCCCCCTGTCTCTCCCTCTGGTCCCGTGATGGCTTCACCTAGGTTGGCTTGCCTGTTTTGTGGGTGGCAGTGGGTTGGCAGATTTCACTCAAAATTGTTCCACCTGAACTGCAGTCTGGCAGCTCTGTTCTCTGGATTCTTCCCAGCCCTTCCCTTAGTAAATCTCCCTTTCTAGGTTGTATACTCTTTATTTGGAGAAAATTCCTTCAGCAGCTACCCCCTGCTCTCAAATTCTATCTAACTGCCTCATCGCAGGTAGCTGATGTGCACATTTTTGGGGAACACTGTCTATGACAGTTAACCCAATCTGAAACACATCATCATTTGGAAACTTGTTTCTCTAGAAAAGCCTCTGATTTCCCCATCTTATTGTCGGCTTCGATTCAATCAGAATATTAGCATTTCTAATATCCACTTTTACATTTAAATAACTTTTGATTATAAATTGGAATTGCAGCTTAACTTGTGGGAAGAATATTCTACATGTTTATTATAATAAATGCTTTAATAAAACTATAAATAATTCACTCAAAGTTTAGATTTCTCCCAGTACAGAAGGCTTGTGAATTAGCTATTTGTCTTAATACAAGGTTGAAATGGTTTCTAACATAGTTAATAAATCAAAAAGATGGAATGCAAAGTCTATATTTTCTAATTTGAGAGTTGAGCTATTACTCCATATGAAATTCATTAATTTCTTCCATCTTCCTTTTATAACAAAAGGAAGAGAAGAGGAACAAAATATGGCAACACATGCTGCTTACCCAAGATAAATTTCACTTGGGGAGCGTGGTAATACAAATAGATTATCTAAGAAAGCTGCTTTTCTGTCTTCCCAGGCTCTGTGCCGAATCACGCGCCATTCCCCTAATGCTTTCCAGAATGTGATTGAGAAGGTGGGTCTGACTTCAGTCATCAACTCCTTGGCCTCTGCCATCTGCAAAGTGCAGCAGTACATGCTGACCTTGTTCACTGCCATGTTGTCATGTGGGATTCACCTTCAGAGACTCATTCAAGAAAAGGTTGGATTTTTTACTTGTTCTGTCTTGCAAATTGGGTTCAGGTTTTTTTTTTTCCCCTTTCCTTTCTTTCTCCTTTTGGCTTTTACTTTTACCAGATCATAAGAGGTCAACATTTTCTGGAACATTCACCCTCCCACTAATTATTGCTGGTGTGACCTCTGAAGACAAACAGAATAAGCCTAATTCTACTTTCCTTCATGATAACTTTTAAGATAACTGTGGGTGGCTACCATGTTTCTCAACTTTCTCTTCTCTCAATTAAACATCCCCAGTTCATTGAACAAATCTTATGGAATGAATGCAAGGCCCTTCACCATCCTGGTTGGCCTCTTCTAGAACATTCTTCAGCTTATCAGTATCCAGCCCAAACCATGGTACCCAGAATTGAAAACAATATTAGAGCTCTAGCCATCTTCCCTTGCTATTCCACTTTTCTAAAAAAAAGGCAAGGCAAATTAATTTCAGCAAAATAATTTAAATCCTTTGAATTATAGAAAGCATAGAATTTTAAAGACAGAAGAGATCTGAGCCCCGCTGATCACCTAGTTTAAAATATATTTATCAAATGAAGCTCTTTTTCTTCCATGTGCCCATTTTGGGAAGGAAATGTTTAGACAGTAACAGTATTGTCCCTAGGGCTCCTGTTGTCTGTTCTCTGCTTTCCTCCTGGCATCCATCTCCTCTATGACCAATAGTCCCTGGCCACTACAGATAGTTGTTGTTATTGTTGTTGTTTTTTTGTTTGTTTGAGGGTTTTTTTTTTGAGGCAATTGAGGTTAAGTGACTTGCCCAGGGTCACACAGCTAATACGTGTCTCAGGCTGGATATGAACTTGGGTCCTCCTGACTCCAGGGCTGGTGCTCTATTCACTGTGCCATCCAGCTGCCCCTCAGATAGGTTTTTGTGCCCCTTTCTCACCTCTCCTTGGAAAGCCTTGGTGCTGCCCCAACCCTCTCTGATAGTCTTACAATACCCTGGGAATCACCTTAGCTTAAAAAGGCCAAGGTCTCCCACTGTATCCTAGGCCATCGCCAGTTCTCATGACCTATGTTGTGCCAGTGGACTCTGATGGCTCTGGAGGAGAGAATGAGGACTTTGCGCAGCTCTGCCTTGCACAAATCCATCACTTTCCTAATGTCATTGAGAACAAAGGAGTAACTCCAACCCCAATAACAATAGTAACTGTGACCATTTAAATGGCACCTGTACCTTTGTAAGGTACTTCCTCTATTGCAGCCCATTTGATCTTTGTAACAACCCTGCAAAGGAGGTATTATTAACCCCATCTTAGAGATGAGGAAACTCAGGCTGAGAGATAGTAAGTGACTTGCTCAGAGTGGTCACAGGTAGGATGTGAACCTGGCCCAACATTCTTTACCCACCACTCTGCTGCCTTTCACACCCCATGTGCCGTGACATTTCTGACCGCTCCAGTATGGACCTGGTAGTTTGTGGGAGTGTATCAGCACCAAAGAGAAAGGGAGGAAACTTGGGTTCCTTCCTCTGCCTTGAGCTAGCTGTCCATGGAAGGCTGAGCCTGTCATTTATTGTCTCAGGGCCATGGTGTTTCAAGAGTTGGGGGTAAGAGTAAGTGATTCTAACTTTCTCTGATTCTGTTATATAGATACAAATACAACAGTAGCATTTACAATCTAACCTTTTCTGATATTCTACATTTAATTAAACTGTTGAGCAGTTTTTGCTTCCAAGTTCAAATATAGTCACATACCTTATCATTGCATTCCTGACCTGATGCATTCCATTATTATAAATAATTCCCAGTTTTCTGTACTGCAATGTATCATTTGTAGAGTCTATGGAAAAGTCATAGAATGAGATTAATCCCCTGTGAATTTGCTTTAATTTTCTTGTTAAATAGACTTAATTTTATGAAGTATAGGCAAGAGTTATTTCCTCAATCATCTTCATGTATTTTTGGTACCAGAAGTCTTCCAAGTCCCTTACTATCATTCTTACAACAATAAAAAAGTAACACTTCTTTTGTGCTCAACTATCTTTGGAAACAAAAGTCGCCTCTGTATGTTCCCCATTTGCCCACTTTCAGCCCAGACCAGGACTGGATCCATTCACAGTTTTATATTTTACTGAGAGGAGAAAAAATGAAATTAACATACCATTTTGTATGTTCTTTATTATTGGTAAGTAAACTTACATGTGTTTTTAGGGAAACAGAATGTACAATTGAATGTACAAAACAATAAGCTTGTCACTTTGACTTTTTATTAGTAATAATATTTTCAAGTGTCCTCTGCCTTGGCGTTGTTGGGGTTGGTGGCTTTTCTTTGGTGACTGTAGTTAATGCGAAGTTGATGACAGTAGCCAGCTTTGCCTCTCAGCACTTAAGCCTTCAGTCCCACGATGCCTCTGGGATCTCACTAATGGGGGGGACACCCGTCTATGCCTTCTCACCTGGTGCCGTTTTGGTCTGTGGCCCCATCAGTTCTTCTTTGAGAATCTACTGAACAATCTAGTCGCTTGCTTTCTTGTAGGCTGGACATTCTTAACTTGATGTTCTTGAACTATTTTTTTTAAAGAAAACTGCATTTCAATATTATTTGTAATCCTATTTATTTTATTTTGTGCATCTCAGGATGTTATCGTGAGAAGGAATTGCCCCAAACTGCATGCCCCAGAGGTGAGGAGCCCCTGCTTTGGGTCCTCGGACATGTGAGCTCCCGTGCAGCACTGGGGATTTTAGTTGCACCTGTTGGCTCACTTTTGGGAGCTTCTTGACGAGCCTGCCCTCTGACCTTTCTGATCACACATCCCCTGGCTGATCTCTTTTATGCGAGTCACATTTGGTATTGCTTCAGCCTACGTGTGCCTGACACGTGGCCCATCCGAGTTCTTGGCGTTGCCTACAGTTTTGATTCTTGGCAGATTCTGGGATGTAGTTCATTGCTACTGTGTGATATTATTAAAACAAGATTGGTGTTATCAAGTCTAGTGCTTAACTGTTAGGGAATAGCTCTTGATCATTGACAGCTCTAGACAATTTGGAAGTGCCATACAGTGTAGCTTTTTCCTTCTATTCAGTCCTGGGCCAGGCTGATATGTGTACTGATGGAGTATGGCCATTCTGTCCAGCTGCATGGCATAGTCTGGACATACAGCTAGTAAGTGTCTAAGGACAGATTTAAACTCAGGAAATCTTCCTCACTCCAGGCCTAGTGCTCTATCCATTGTGCCATGTAGCTGCCCATAACGACACTCAGCACCCCTCAAAAGCCACTACAGGATCAGCCCAGACCTTTCCTCCAGAAGTGCAGCAGAACATGACCCTGACAACAAGGGTGAGGTCAGGATGTAGGCTGGGAGACTGAATGAACAAAAACAGAATCCCACCATAAATAAAGCTCTTATGGCAACAGAGACATTGAAGACACAAATGTAGAGGAAGATGATGATTCCAGAATTTTTACAAGCAAAACCAAAAAAAAAAAAAAAGACCCCAAAACCAGCTTGTGCAGAAGTTCAAGTAGAATTCCTGGAAGAAGTGAAGCAAGAGTTGAAAAATAAAAGCTTAAAATGTTTTTATAAATGAAATGCTGCCAGAGGAAAAATTTGGAAAAGAAAGGTGAATGATGGAAAAAAGAATTGTAAAAGGAATTAACAACTTTGTACAGGAAGTTCAGAGCCTTGCCCAAGCAACAAAAGTCTTGAAAATTAGAATGGATCAAATAGAAGCTAATGAATTCATTAGACAAGAGGAAATATTTTTAAAAATACTTTTTAAAAACTGAGTTATCGTGGAGTAATGGCACCTGAAAGCCAACAAGTAAGCTAGCAATGGCCTGGCACCAGGAGCTGTCCGCTTCCCCAGACCCCTCCCCACTGATGCATTCCCACTGGGTCCCACATGCTCACCTGAGCATCTCCACTTCTACCTGAGGGAACCCAGAGCCCCTGTCTACTCTGACCTTTGGGCCCACTACTCTTTTTCAACATGCTGTCTTTGGTAGGGACAGTCTGCTCCACCATTGATCTGCAAGGTCCTTGGGGTCTTGCTATCTGCCCAGATACTTTGCCTGCCAACTCTCAAATCATGATTCCACAATGCCTTATATGCACATACGTATATACCCCAAGGCGACTCTTTAAGAGGGTAAGTTGTAAAGAAGGTGACAAGTGGCATTGCTAGAGAGTTTCTTCATCTAGAAGTTCCCTGTATTATTGAAATCATAAGTTTAGTCCCTTTATATGAGTGTAAACACAATAAATATTATGTAATTTTCATGGGCAGGGCACTGGCAGCTGGAGTGATTAGGAGGAGGTTTCATGTAGAAGGTAGCATTTAAGTTGCGTTTTGAAAGAACCAGATATTTTTCAGATATGCTAACACAGCAAATGTTTTCATTTAAAACAGTATATTTTATGGTCTGCTATTTAAACCAGAGCAGCTGGACTTACTATTTATTACCTGTGTGACCTTGGGCAAGTCTTTGACCTCTGTGAGCCTTTATTTTCCCATCTATAAAATGGGAACAATAAAAATATCAGGCTCTAAAAAGGGTTTGAGTATCAAATTAGGTAAAATATGTAAAGCTCATTGCGTACCTTACAATGATATATAAAGGCAGCTATTATTATTATATTCAGCAGCATTATCATCAACCTTCTGGGAAGGGTCTTTAGTGAATATATATTGGATTATGATAATATGGGGTGTTCCAAAAAACTTAGTACAATTTAAGTTTGCTTAAACTATATTATTACCCTGTGTAGGTACTCATCATAAGAGAATTTATTTTGAAATAACTTTTACTTTTAAGTGAAGAAAAAATTTTTTTATAGTTAGTATATAATACCCTAGTTTTATCAGTATTTTCAAATTGAAATAGATCTACTGAAAAGCATGTGTTCCCAAAGTACCATTCCTTAGAGTTGTATTAAATTCATGGTCACGACCCTGTCATTACTTCCTGTATAAATTTAAGTTCTTTTAACTCTTCTGCTGTAATATACAATATCTTTGTAGG